CGTATCTTGGGGAAGGCTGCAAAATAGGGATGCCTGAGAATGTGTGTGTTGATGATTGTTAAGACAACTATGTAGGGCAGAGAGAACCCAGTGAAGTCTCATTCTTGCTTCCTGCAGACTGTATTCTTTGAACTGACTGTTATTCCAGGACTGCACTCAGCTTTGTTTCCAAAGGAACTAGCTAGTTCACTTTGGAATGAAAGCCTCAGAGTGAACTATCATACAGAGTGGGGATGATGGAGGACCAGGTTCCAGGATGGAAGTTATTTGCTGGCGTAGATGTACCCAATAGTATTTTACAGCTGACATTTCACCAATACTGAATCAAGTAGAATGATTACCCTCAGCATCTTACATATAACACTACTATTAACATGTCAGAATGCGGTTTGCCTTGACTTTCACTGTTGACTTTCATTTCATTTCTTTTCTACTCTAACCTCCTAGACCTCTGTCCTTGAATTTGCATTTACTCAAGTTATTCAGTCTAGTATTGGTGGATGTGATTTCCCTCTCCAGTGTGCAGCATTTTGCACCATCTTATTGAATGTTATCTTGCTGATTTTAGCCCATATCTCATGAACATTACAGCCATTTTTAATCTCGGTCCTGCTCTCTAAAGCATTTCTAATCCATCATTATTAATTAATATCATTAGTAGATTTCATATACAAACATAGTTCATTTCATCATCTAAGTTGCTAATGAAAATGCTCTTAAAATGCTCTGATGTAGAATAAAATCCTGTACTTCATTCACATGCTTACATAGGTCCGACATGTCCTTTAGCCTCTATGCTGACAAACCCTAAGAAAAGAGGCACCTCAGTAATGGTAGCAGTATTTAATGCTAACACTCGTTATCTTATCTGAGTCACAGAATTACAAGTGAGGTATAAAACTCCTCAACTCTGATAGCTTTTGTATCCAAAGGAGTTGTCTGTCACTAGTTGAGATCTGTATTCATGTAACACTCAGATGTTCTAACTAACTAGATGCTTCCATTCTGGTGTAGACAGAGGTGACCAAAAATGGGTTAATGGTAACACATTTGTTCCTCATCTTACATTTATAAGCACTGTGGATTTACTCCACAGCATATGTATAAATCCATGGATTTATACAAAACTACCTCTGAAAGTTTTACTGTAACATGACCTACATTTCACCTTAGTCTATTTGAACACAGCAGATATATTTACTATCAATTTGTGAAGCAAGCAGAGTAGTATCGCTTTGTCTAGATCAGCATACTATAATGGTCACACAGTCTATTAAATATCTTTTACAGACTCTGCATTTAATAAATGATTTCTAATTGACTAGTTGTCAGTGGCAACATTCTAGAAAACTCAGTTACATGGGATTTTTCATTGATTTTCCCTATATTAGAAAATGAAATGTCAGATATCATTAATTGCATTTTCACAATGGGAAGCATGCTGCAAAAGTAACTGCTAAGTAAAAGCACTTCCAGGCTAATGTGTGAGAGAGGTATTCTTGTTAAATGAATCCAATATATAAACATTTATTACAGTTATGTGCCTCTATGGACTAAATTGATGTGAATGTAATTATAATCTATAATATGAAGCCATTTTACACATTTCTAGGGAAAAAAAATGCTTCCAGGTGTATTCTGCACTCATTTATCATTATACGGTATCCTATCTGCACCCAGGAATGTGGCAAGTGGTTAACCTATGGTTTTTGGGAGCTCTTATCTACACAGTGCCTGAAACATTTCTGAGATCAACTTGTGCTTATTGTTAGCTGCCCATGTCTCAAAGACAGAGCTGCTAATTTATGTTATCTAACAACTAGACCCATGTTTACCCAGGTTACATGGCAGCACTAGTTAGTGTACGATCTTGAATGAAATCTATGAGACTGTGGCACACATATCCTCTATCATTGGTGCTCTGCAGTCTGAAACACATTTGTGCATCTTTTCAGCTTTCTGTGGTTACGTTAGTGTAGTAAGCCTTTTGAGATCACATATGCTTTCTACAGATGTATTTATATGTCTCTTCCATGTGATCACATCTGTTGTGCCAGAATTGGCCAGCAGTCTCTACAGTCGAAGATAAATGATACTGAGTCTGTATGTGAAAATTTACTGATTGCACACAGTTTACCATAGTGCAAGAAGTTCTTATGTCTTTGCAGAAAGAAAAATTCATGACCTTTCTAAAGTATGTGATGTAGCATTCAATTTTCCTGCATCTGATCGATAAGCAAGCAGGAAATTATATCTTTTGCCATGGTAGACAAGCATAATTAAGCAATAAGGCAATGGAGGTAGTTGTGATTATCTTAGGATGCACCTGGGAGCTGCCTTGTTGCTATTTTAAAGCATCTTTATACTAAGGGAACTGTATTAATTTCTGCTGAGAAAGATAAAGTTGGCAGTTTGGAATGCTCATGAACAGCAGTTTCAGTTGTGCTTCACAGAGAGTAATGTGGTGTGTTCACCCCAAACAATTAGGCTTCTCCTTCAACAGAAGCAAAGATGGAGCAGGCTGTAAACACTTAATTGACAGTTCAGAAACGGTAAAGAAAAGCAAAACAATTATGCTTTGGCTGGTTGCCAGCAAGTGCAAAACTTACATTTTTACTAGTTTAGAATAAAAATGCATTGCCTCCAACACTTGACTTCCAAGGAAGGCATCACTGCATAATTAATGCTATTGCATCCATATTCTAATTTATGCATTTTAATTATACCAAAGGCCCAGTGAATAATTAATGTTAGCAAAACAATGTGTTGGAAGCATAAGCTGAAAAGTACCACTTTTTAATGGGCTCTGTAGATTTAAATAACTAATGGAAGCTATTTAACTGTTTAATTACAAGAACATTTTCAACTAATACAATCAAGTATTATCTACTATGACCGAGTACCCTCACAGGTGGAGAAGTGAATTAGCTCAGGCTACTTGCTTTTTGAAACAATCAATCTGAGTATATCACAGTATAGTAATCTACCTGAGCCATATGCATGCAGGGAAAAAAGGTTTTTGAATGTTGTGCTGTAGGAGAGACTGGCATTTGTAAGATGTAAAATCAAAATTCCAGGCACAAATTCCTCTTTGACCTCCTGTATTCAAGCTGGTCAGTGCATACAGGTTTCGTGGGGAGATTTAGAATTGAATATAAAAGGATCCAATATGGAACTCATTATCCCCAAGTTCAGCAATCGAAAATTAAGGATATAGTCCAGGTTAGTAATTTAGAGTCTTGCAGTGGTTGATAGATACAGCATTTCTGGAGAGAGTTTCATCTCATACTAAAATAGGTTTTTGAAGTAGATAGAATTAATCATTATCTGGCAGCGGCTATCATTTTTTTCTGTTTCTTATAGAGAAAGCTTAGAGTAGTGCCTTAGGTGTATGTCCTACACCTAGCTCCTAGGCAGGCTACTTTAGCTGAAGTTCCCTTCACTAGCAATGCCAGCCTCCAAGGTACCATGTGAGTAGTACACGGTAGCTGATGTACCTGATATCAACGTGATGGCACACAGATCACAGCAAGGCTGCAGGGCTCACAGCATGGATTCCTCCAAAGCTCTCATGTGCCACATGGACAGCCAACATCTCTGCTGCCTGCTCAAGTCCCAGGATGAAAACACATGATTTCATTAAGAAAGTCCTTCCCTTTCAAAAGGATCACCCACATGGCTCTGCTCTGCCCTAAATCTTTATCTCTGGTGCGTGGACTATCAGGCACACTACCAGACAGTGTGAACCAGAAGTGTCCCAGCCACGTAGTGTGTCCCAATGTGGGCCTACCTTGGGTTTGCTGCAGGCTGGATCGTGAAACCATGCACACACCAGACAGCACTGCCTGCATAGCATGGGAAGTCTAGTTGTTAAATGTACACATTTCTTACAGTGAATATAATGACAGAGCAAATGATGAATTACTGCAATCCTTGACAACATCTTGCGTACACTCAAGTAATACCAACTTGTCATTGTGAATATAAAATTAATCACTTTCACCAACTTTTTCAGTAATTCTTTCCATGTCAGACAGAAGTTTGCTCTTTAAACTCTAAAGTAAAAGATTCAAGTATAATAATCATAATAATAACAATAATAACATAGTGAAGGCTGCTTCCAGTTTGGAATAACAAGCCATTTTATCTAAGTGCATTATTTGTAGGTTAGTAACTAATGGCTCCAATGTTTCAAGCTTTCTTTGTGTACCAGGTATATACTGAAAGCATAGTATATGTCCTTTCAGAACAGCTCTCTATGTCATTTGAGAGACACAGAGGGAGAAACCTCTTGTGTTTTCCCTTTTTTCAGCTGTGATTGCCTGACCCTGGCCCTATTCTTGCACTAGGGCAGTGTGAGAGGTGTGCCAGCTCACGTCAATGGTTGTGTCTGTCGGGTGACAGCTGCACTGGGCAGCGCGGTTTGTGTGGCGTGATAACTCCCCTAATGTGGCTGTGGGGGAAGGGACACAGCAGCATGGTGGCACTGTTCCAGGGGAATCTCAGCTGGCCGTAGCCAGCTGCTGTCTGATTCTGCTGAATATTTGATGCAAGGTAGAAAGCAGTACACAAAAGAAAATCTGTCTTGGTAGCAGGCTAAAACTGGCTGCTTTCTTCGGAGCAATAGCATCTGAAAGAGCAGAGATGGAGCAGGGGTGCCAACTGCAGTAGCACTCAACTCATCCTCCTGGTATTTTATGTACTTCTCACTGCTCAGCTCTTCCACCCAAAAGACAGGTTGTGACCTGAAGGTATTCCTCCGAGCCTTAATTCTCTGTATTTTGATTACTACAGTATCTAAAGGAAGTGCTAAGAGTAATTACTCAAGTAATACAACTATTTAATTAAATCCAACTTGAGAAAAAAAGCTTTTTAGTGTGTACTTTGATACTAAGGTGGAGCCCGGTGAGCTAGCAGTTCCAGTTTCTGGTGTTTTTAGCATAGATGACAAAAACAGTGTGAGCTCATGATCTGTGTCTCCCTTTGCTTCTGTCTTTCAGGACTATGCTGAGAAGGAGAAAGCTGCAGCCAAGGCTCTGGAGGATGTGAAGGCTAACTTCTACTGTGAACTGTGTGACAAGCAGTACCACAAACACCAAGAATTTGACAACCACATCAATTCTTATGACCACGCTCACAAGCAGGTAAACCTGACACTTGTCTGTCTGTGTTACAGCTGCCCATCTTCTGTCTTTCCTGATTTTGGGGGATTTCTAAATTCACTCAAGTAAAGGACAAGTTAGCGTGTGATACTAACATGTTATTTTTTATCAAAATCAAATGTCAAATATTTATCATTTTAATCTTTTCCGCAATCTATGCCTCTTTCCAAGGATCACTGTAGTTTTAGATACCTGCTCAATTCTAATATTAAAATAGATTTAAATATGAACTTATAAACTGGAAGGAGGGGGATGGGGGAATGAGGAAACATCTCCTCAAATATCTACGTTCCTCTTTTGGTTTTAGGAGGCATATGATGATGTTGTATGGATGTAAGTAAGTATGATCCTTAAAGCTAGTTATACTGTTTCAAGGGCAGAAAAACAGGTTGTTGTTTGTTGGTTGTGTTTTTTTTTTTTTGTTTTTTTTTTTTTTTAAGCAAATGTAGAACTGAAGTTAAAATCTGTGTCTCGTGAAGTTTCTCAGGGTGGAATATGCAGGTCAAAATAACTGCAACTCTTGAAAGAAAGAAATTAGATTATTGGAAAAATACAATAGATATTATTTTTCATTTCTGAACCTATTTAACCAGGTCTGTATGCGTAGGTGTGCCATACCAATGTATACATATTATCATTCCATGTTTGCTGCCTGCATCACAGTTTTCCACTAATTTTAGCAAAACACATATTCCAGTTGACACTGTGGAAGAAAAATGCAATTAATTCTTGCAAGCATTCCAGAGGTCTATAAAACTCATTTGCAAAGTTCAGAAATGAACTGAACCTCTTGTGTAACTTACCATATGTTATGAAATAGCATGTGAGAAGTTAGAGGTGTAGCAGGTTTCCATAAACGCACCTTATATTACTGTTTTTCTCCTTGCTCTTACATGTGTTACGCAGTTCAAGTCATTATGTATTTCTGCACATTGGAGTTACCAGGGCATTAATGTCTCCTGGGTGATCACACCTCTGGGTGCATGGAGGTCAGGGGCTTCCTTGCAAATCTATGAAGAATTTAGAAGCTGCAGGTATTTCTTCCAGAGAATGAGAAATAATAAATGCCGAGATCAAATAGCGCTAACGGCAGAATTCCTTGCTCTCACTATAAGCAATCTTATTGTTCTTTGTAGTATTATAGAAGATGTAAATCATTCTGGCATTTTCTGTGTATGTCTACTGCAGCAGTAAGCGAATGAACTGCCCATGCACCACGACAAACCATCCTGCTGAAACCAACTACCCCAGGTTTTGCTGTCCACAAGCCTCTTCTAGCCTATCACTCTCAAACAACAGATAGATTCACTTAATGTATTTATTTATTAAACCCAAAACAATTCCTTACATCACAACTCTATTAATTAATCTGTAAAAAATGGTTCTAATAACACAAAACATTTCCATATCCTAAGCATGTGACTCTAATCCATATAAATCCCCATTTGCTGCACAAATAATTTTTCACCTTTCAGCCAATTTTCTACTTGTCAGAGATGCATCTGAATTCCAACGAATCAATCCTTGCCCCCCTTCCTCTTCTCTACACCCTCTGCAGTGAACAGCTTACACAAAATAAAACAGCCTACTTGACACACCATGTACGTTTGGTTTGTTGCAGCAGAGGTTTTGGAATCCTGCATTATAAAACAGAATGTTTAAGCCATTAAACTTCCTTTAATTTGTAGGTAAATTCAGTGCTTTAAAACCTGCCAGACTGATGTTACTGTGAACTCAGAGTCTCATGGAAATACACAACACGTACAGAATATCAACTGTCAATACAAGCTCATCCCATCCTGCCCTCTCAGATGTAGTTCAGCAGCTCAAGCTAGCGCAGGATTAGCTAGCTATCCTCCTGATGTGACACGGTAATTCGGTCTCATCTCCCTTCTCATATCTTCACTGCTCAGCCAAGTTTTGGAACCTTGCCTCTAGGAATAACATGAATGCTACATCTCTTCAGACTTTCATTGTTAGTCACAGAAAAATCTATACTATTCTTACTTTATCAAGATAGTTTTCTGAGATAGGTCAATTTTAGTTATCTTAACTTCAAAATGTTAGTTCTGGGAAGTGTAGAAGCCACCAGAAAACTTCCATTCTCCTTTCTGTTTCCCAGCAGAAATTCGAGGGTACCATATGTTGTCTACATGGATATGTTCTGAGCAAAATCTTTCTTATGGAGATTAAATAAAATGAGAGACTCTTTATAGCTCAGTAACAATATTGTATAGTCCCATTTCCCTTTGTGATTTCCCTTCTAAATGCTACTACTTAGAAATCTGTATTAAACTGGCAATGCTGCTTAGAGAAGATATAAAGACAGAAAAAAGGATATTACACTGTGAGCACTTCTCATAAGACTTTTGTTTCCCTTCCAGAAGAAACAGATTTTATTCAAAGACTTATGATTTAATCTCCCAACGTTATGGTTTTATTAAATTAATTTTGTGATTCATTTTTTAGCTATGACTGCAACCAGTTCTACAGCAGAAAATACTGAATTTTGGACCTCTCATTTAGTATAACAGCTATTGCCTTCCCTGGCCTCAGAGGACTGCAAAACATTAAATCAGTTTGGCCTTGTTTGTGCAGCCGGGCTTCAGTTGGGTTACATTATTCTTGAGCAGTACTCTCAGAGATACTTTCTTCCTCTACACACTACTTACATGCAAATGTATGCAAATATGATGTATGTATATGCAAATATATACACACGTATACAGAAAAAATTCTGAATCAGGAGTAATTCAAGATCACCTGTGCCTCTATTTTCATTGTCTCCTAGCACTAAAATGATCCTAGCACTAAAATGATCCTGGAGAGGTATAATATCATTTAAATGTAATTTATTACTTTTGACTGAGTATTAAATAGCTCTTATTTCTTTGACTGTCTTAACAGCATTAGTCTTAGTGTTGTCAGCATCTTTCTTCTGTACTACTTATCATTTATTATCATTTATCATTACTCATAAATATTACCTATTATTGGAAAATAATTTCACTCAGTGCAAGGCTGGATAAAGTGATCTCTGAATCTCTATGAAAGTGGAAGCCTGTGCTCCCACCCAGCTTTACCTGAGCTCTCTATTGTTAAGCCCAATGCTTTCCAAAAAACGGGGCAAGAATGAGGGTGCCCTCAAGAACACCTCTCCTCATGTTACAAAACAGCCCTGTGCATGCATGTCTCACTAACCCACCACATAAATAGCTTTCTTTCTTTGTGGGTTTCCTTTTACAAAATATATTACTTTATAAACTCCTGAGCAGCAGTCATGGGCAGTTTCACATTTGGTAAATCTGCTATGTCTTTTCATTCAAGCATCATAGCACCTGCAACAATGCTTGTTCTCACTTGCTCATGCTGTTCTCCCCAAGAGAAGTTGGCTGCATCAGAACTGATTACCTTGGCTCTATATAAACTCCCTGAACTTAGGAAAAAACAATAGTCCTGGTGTGAATTAGCTCGAAAGTTATTGTGATGTAGATGTTCAATGTAGGCTGCTTCTTGTAAACACAATACCTATATTCAACTTTATTTTACACATTGAGCAACAAATAATAGGTAAGTGCAGATTTGTTTTGAAATACACTTGTTAAGTCACTTGCTTCTGTAAAAGAACACCAAACTTGAACAGAGATATCTATTTGGTTCATGTTATTAAATGCAATCTTTTAGTTCCCCCAGGTCATTCATAGCATTCATTCATTCACTTAATGTCGAAGTACTGGGAGCTTTCCATTTTTGTAGAAATAATCCTCATCAGTAATCAGCAATGACTTCTGATATCAGCAAAGGAGAAAATCACATATCTGTTCTGTGTACTGCAATAAAATAATTATGATAATAATAATAGTAGAAATAAGCAGCAAAGAAAAACAAGGCTGTATTGCCATCTTGGGGTTTCTCATGACAAAACAGGTCTCTTAGTGTGTTGTCAAAGTTTAGACATACAGCTAATCACATTCGCTTGGATGAAAAAAAATCTGAATTTTACAGTATGTGAAGTAAATGAACAGAAGTTAAAGTCTACACTAGGTCACATGCTCATGTCTTTATCTTAGTACTTAAATCCGTGCATACTGGCACTTGGGTAAATTTTTTGCATGAGTCTGATTTAATGTGCACAGCTGTAAACACTTGCCAGTAAGCCTTTATTGTGCTTGTGGATTTAAACTCTAATTCAGACAGAGATTTAGCTACTGTTAAGCATCAAAGCTAGTAAATATGCTTACATTTTAGCTAGCCTTGCCTCTAACACCTAGAAAATGCACAGATAAGTAAACACAGAGAAGCTCCAGGAATTAGTGTAATACTGTGATTTTGTTTTCATTCATCTTTAGGGTGTTGTTTTTTCTCCCAGGATGTGTATGTTTATTGGAGGAAAATCTCACATTCTGGCACTTGGATACAGATCTCTTATTACCCAAACAATTTTCATCTGGAGCAAAGATTGGTTTGGAAGTAGCTCAGAGTTTTCACCTTGGGATCTGGTAGCAAAGGCAAACACAGCAGCATCCATAAACCTTTTTTCAGACAAAGTACCATGTATTTAGTTGTCAGAATATACAAACGAAAAGAGAAAGATCTGCCTCAGCGTGAAAGTATATGAGAATGTGTGTATGTGTAATCTCTGCTTTTTTTCCCTTGAGATATAGGTGGGCCAATTGTTTAAAATTGTTTCAAGGCCAGATTGTGCATCTGAAGTCTGCGCTCTCCATGTTCCCCTCAGAAAATAACCTCTAAATTTACAACAACGACAACAACAAAAATCAGCTTAGATTGATGCTTGTTAAGAAATGCATGCATATTTTAAATTAAATGTTCACATTTGTCACAGCACTCTTAAGAAAGACAGAACCATATTTGCATTAAAAGTTGGCCTGGAGACAGCAAGAGAAAAAGAGATAAAAGAAACATGACGTTAGATTCATTCAGCTAGTATATAAGTAGACTTGAAATGAGAGAGAGATTTT